CTATGTCCTTGTCCATGGGCTCAGGAGTGCCCAGGTCTCACTACACTTTGGACCAACCAGTACAGTGGTTATTCTTAAAACCTTAATTTTTTGAAATGGCAGATAAGTTTTTAAATGAAAAGTTTTGATCAGTAGTCAAACACATTTCTTTTTGTTGTTTGCACCAGTAATCAGTCAGCCTCTGCACTGAGGCAGTGTGCCTGGGGATAAGAGGAACAAAGGCAGGGGAGGCAAAAGCAGAAGCTGGCAGCACATCTCAGCCTTTCTTGTCCATCCAGTGACCAAAGGGAAGCAAATTCTTAATCATTGGAATACACTGTCCACCCTAAACGGCCACAGTGTGAAACTACTGGAACATACCCACCTCAGGCTGACCATGCTGGCCAGAACTTACCTTCAAAGTAAATGCTGCAGCTCCACAAACTTGGAGGTCCTGAGGAATCGCAGAGTAGACGCACACTCTGGTGGTCCAGTCTGTTAACTGTTAACAGTATACACAGGGCAGTATCAAAAGGGAGCAGTGCCTTCCAACAAGCCACTGAAACCGACTATGATAAAACTGGCAAAGCTCACTTTACTAAATGAAGGGAAGAGGAAAGCATGCATCACCAGGGAAGCTTAACAGTTACATGAACCAAGAATACTTTAGTCCTCTTCCCTCTTTGATCTTTTATATAAACCCAGGTTTTCTTAAGTCGGGGGTTCTTAAATGAAGGGCCCCAGCTGCTTACAGAGCCTGGGAACCCTTGGAAATAGTATGCACAATTGAGTATCTGCTTTCTTGTGGAGGGCCATGGGGGAAGTTGTAATGCCCATGGAAGCAGCAGCCACCAAGAAATTAAATGACATATTTGATTTCTATACTAGCTCAACCCATAGCATTTTCAATTACTTCATTTGCATGTTAAAGTTGCAGACAATGAATGGGGAAAGAGTGAAGAAATGATGCACTTGAATTGTGGTGTTGGTAAAGAATACAGAATATGGCCTACCAGGAGAATCCTGGTGTGACACTGTACGATTAGCAGTGGATTGCAAACAAAATGGATGGCAGATCAAATCCAACAGAAACCCTATACAGGCTTACTATGAGTTGGAACTGACTCACACGACACTTTTAAGCACCAGAGGAATGAACCAGTTTGTCTTGGAAGAGTGCAGCTGGAATGCTCCTTAAAAGCGAGGACAGAACTTTGGACCTGTTATCAGGAGGGATCAGTTCCTGGAAAAGGGTCCAATGCTTGGTAGTTGTTGTTAAATGCTATCAAGTTGGTTCTGATCAATAGCAACCCTGTATAGGGTTTCCGAGGAGTGGCTTGGTGAGCTTGAACTGCTGACCTTGCAGATCAAACCGGCTTTGCAGTCCAGCGCATTAACCCACAGCACCACAACAGGGCTCATGGTTAGTAGAGGGCCAGCAAAAAAGACAAAGACCAATGAGCCATACAGACACAGTGGCTGCAACCACGGGCTCATGCATAGCAGCGATTTTGAAGATGGGACAGTGTTTCATTGTTGTATACAGGGTCACTGTGACTTGGAACCAACTCAGTGGTATCTAGTAACACTTTTCGGGGAGTAGGACCCACGGTTTCTACCAAGCTCTCAAATGAGTCCATGATGCCAGGAAGGTTCAGAGTCACTGACACTCGGTTAAGCAGCAGATTATCGTTAACTTTTTGTTACTTGACTTTCGGTAGTTACAGAGATTTCTTCATTCCAGGCTATCAACTTGATGCACAGAGACAAGAGAAAGCATGGGCACTGTCAACCTTTCAAGTAGTAATCGCTTGGGTCCCAGATCCCCACTCTCCATCACGTCAAATAGCAGCTGGGGCCAGCAGATACACTGGTCTGCCGAGGCCCCTGATGAACGTGTGGGCTGCTTTCTTTAGCACACACTTCTCCCCTAGGCTCTTGCTTCCTCAAATGCAGGCTGGACAAGAAACAAATTGCTGTCTCACCAGGCAAGTGAAGAGAATCATCCATGTTTTGAAGCGTCCTGTTCCCATCATTCAGACCTGAAGTATAACAAGCCTCTTCTGCCAAGTGCTCAATCTCTAAATTTGGGACCATACTGAACTGCAGGGAGACCAAAATCCCAATGGTACCCCAGTCCCCATAGCAACCTCTCAGTATAGTCACACAGCCACCTCTTCACAGCCCCCTCTGGGGTGGTGGTGGGGACAGGAGGAATCAGGTGGCAGTAGCTGCAGACTTGAATGTGATTTCTTGTAGGTACTACTGTCTTGGCCAGGTCCAAGCTAGCCGTCACTGAGCATGTCCTCTGCATCAGGCATTACAACCACCTTCTGAAGTAGGAACTATTCTTCCTATTCACAGGATGCTCAAGAGCCAAGAGCTGGTACGTGACCGAGCCTGCACTCTAACCCCTCTTTCTCTCCTCTGGTAAAATGCAGTTAGACCAAATATCCACTTCAAGCAAAATCCAATGTCAACCTAAGGTCCGGATCCCAGATTATTAAGCTTCCTATGCTCCTGGAGACCAAGAAAGTGGGCTTTCCGTCACATGACGTTAACAATGACACATGACCACCACCAGGCAAGTTCCCTGTCACCAGTCACCTAACCACAAAGCTTCAAGAAGAAAACCTGATGGTATTTAGCAGTTTTCATACATCAATGTATGTAATGCTTATATATAAACTGGGCACCCTCCCCATAGAAGACAAGCAGTCATTAGGAATCCACTGAACAACCTCATTTCCATGAGCTGGTTGGGGTAAGCAGCTGTGGAGGGCCACAAGGTTTGATTCCCAAGAGACAAGAACTCTCCTTGTTTCAATGACAGGAGTTCTGCTTTTGGTACGCACAGTGGAAAAGTTTACCAGGGAAGAGCAAAGTGTAAAGACTGATGAAGCTAACGAGTCCTTCTGGATTAAACTCACAAAAGAATCAGCACAGTAAAGGAGGAAATCAGCTCGCATCAGGTCAATTGAGCTGCTGTGATATCTTCCTCCCAATCCAACTTCCAATCTAAACTGACCCCCCAAACCAGCGGGGCAGCCACAGATGATGACTGAGACCATAAACGTGGATTGTACAGGTTTATTTTTCCAATACCACAAGAGACATACAAGAGCAGTGCTTACTGTGGGCAGCCTTACAGACAAGACAGGGCCAGTGTCCGAGTGTACCCACACTGCCCCAAAGGTCACAGAAGGAAGAAGGTTCACACAGGCTTGGGCCTCTGCTCCCTGTCTTTGGTAAACAGACTTTTGAAGCTGGCAACCTGGAAGTGGAAAATACTCCATCTGAAGTCACTTCATTGCCAACTTCTCACTCATGCTTCAAACAACACAATTGCCACATGGGAGAAAAGCAAAAAAGACCTTTCAGGTAAGACGAGGCTTGCTGGAATCATACAAATTTTGTATTTCATACAGATGCCCTCACACCGGGAGCCTGAATTGTTTAAACAAGAACTGTCAACTCCACAAGTCAAGACACAAGAAATGAGGCAGGAAGCAGAATGAGAGAAGACAGGTGCCAGAGCACTTGCTGGAAACGTGTTAGGAGGTAGGGAGAGAGGCCGGCAGCCGTTTCGCTGTCTCTTCCCATATCTGCTGTCATGAAACAATCAAAGGAGCCTGGTGGCCCCCAGAGAGCTCGGTCCTGGGTATTGCTTAGAGGTGGTGACCCTGGAGCCCGGGGCTGCCCAGAGAAGTCACCCATGAATCCAGAAGCACTTGACACTGATGGTGGCGGTGATTTGTCACACATGGCAGTGAGCAGTCATGAGCGATTAGGGGAGAAGAGATGAGAGATGTGAGGAACAAAATGCACTTGTTTAGTAGCGTGCAGGTGACTGACCTGGGCTCTGTGGGCTGTGGTGGGTCCACCCAGCGTACTGGGCTGGGGAGCCAGGCCAATCTGGTAAGAACACAAGTTCAATCCCTCACCCCTAACCGGTGGGCGGCAGGCACAGCACTCAGTGGCTCTGACAACAGGTGTGGATAAGCAAATGACACCACTTTAATGCAATGATGCTGAAGATGTAAATAATGAAGAGGCGTTTGTGTTCTCTGTACAATACATCCATTTACAGAATTGCCAAGTACTGTGTACAACATATAAATACATGATAAAACATTAGAGGTGCATAGAGCATACTTACAGAAGCCAAAAAGTTCACTTTTTACATCCAGTAAAAGTTAAAAATATAAAAATAAGAAACACACACTGCTTTGAAATGTGAAATGACTCAGGTAACACAGGTGTGTGGAAATGCCCACTCCCATCGAGTCCAGAGTGACAGGGAGCATAGGGGGTCAAGTGGAGGAACCCACCTGCCCAACGTCTGGGCCTGGTACTTCAAGGTCTACAGATAGCATCATCACAGCAGAGACATCACCATTCCCCGGGCACTTTGTTCAGGAAAGCCTAGTCAATGCTCCAAGAGATCCTGCAGGCCAGGAGATGGTGCTGAGGCTCCAATTTGCTTCAGTGGTGGAACCAAAGCTCAAACCAACTCCAACAACTGGCAAATGTCTAAACTGGGACACCCTGCGGTCAGCAGTTGATCCAGGTCCCTGGTGGGCAATGCTGGGAGGTACTTTAACCCTATGCTGACCACTTTCTCAAATGAAGTAGCTGAAGAGAAGATGGTAGGAGTGGGCCATGGAAGACAGACATTTCTATTCAGTTCAGGTAGGTTAGGTCCCTTGGGTGAGGGTACAACCTTCTTGCTTCTGTTTCAAGTCTCTCTGGGTGTCTGGCAGGTTCCCCATACCACATCAGGCTCAGATGTCTGAGTTAAGAGTTTGGATTGGCTGGCCTTGGGCAGCCCAATGGGTTATCCCACAGGGTCCATCACTGACAGAGGGGCTTTAGCACTGTAAATTTAAGGGGGAGGCAAGAGTGCTCTTGCCTAAAGAGACAGAGACCATTATATCAATGATATTCTGTATACAGATTTAAGCTCAATCATTATCAAAATACACACACTGAATATACACTTTCCCCCATGGCCATATTTATTATCTCACCACAAGGCACAATACACAGAGCTTCGAGGGCCCAATACAGTCATCATGACAGAACGCACCACAGCCTTGGCACATGATCATGGCTTTCAGGCTGCATGCACACTGGAGCGAGATGCTCTCCACTGTGCTGCTGTCGGTGAACATCTGCAGGGAAAGGGAGGCGCTGTGGCTGGTACCAAAGTCTGCTTTGTGACTCAGCTGCACCACACTTCCAGCAAGGCCTCTGGGAAAGGTGGGAGAGCTGGAGGAATAATTAAAGCTGGTGGAACGTAGTTGGAGTTTAGAAAGCTTCCCATAAAATGCCTGCTTGATGTTGAGCTGGGAGGGGATGGAAGAAGGTTCCAGAGGCTGGCTGAGCCCTTTCCCCGGCTCCTGGGGTAACTTCCAGAAGGGCAGGTCCATGAGAAAGGGCATCCCTTGCAAGTGATCCATCAGCTCCAGAGGGCTACACCCAATTGCTTTTCTGTTCTCTGCATTCATCTTAAGGGATTCCCCTGCAAAAGTCTTCTCGGTCTTGATACTGCCAGCGGAGGCAGGAGGTGGCTTGGGAGCCCCTTCGTCCCTTGTGATCTGCACCCCACCAGACATAGAGCTTTTGCTTGGTCCCAACTCCCCGTTGGGAACCAGAGAGGGGGCATCAGCAGGTAATGAAACTGGATCCAGGGACCTGGGACACTGAGGGGTTGCAGCCACATTCCTAGAGTCAAAGAGCTTCTTCCCTTGGCCTCCTACACTGTTTGGAAGCCCCAGGGATTGACCTGCTTGGTCTGGACCTAAGGAGATGGCATCTGGAGGTGAAAAGCTTGGGGCTCTCGAGGTAGTGAGTGTCCCTGGGTTTCTGCCAGGAGCAGCAGAGGAGTTACTGCACTGGGATAGGTCTTGGGTTTCCTTCTGATCTTCAGAACTACAAGAAGAGAACGGCTCTTTGGAATCCATTTCTTCCAGTTTCCCAGTGTCAACCATTGGACTTGTCACTGGATGTAGGGAGTCTAAACTTGGGACTGTCTTGGGAAACTTTTGGGGCATGTCGGGTGCCTGGGTGGTCTCTAGCCCTGTAAGACCAGTGCTTGCTTTATGGATCTCGGGCAGAAGAGGCTCCTTCAAATCTCTCAAAAGACTGGGGCTGCCTTGGTCAATTGTGCAACTGCCTTCCCCACGATCAGACCCAGATCCCAGCCCTAAGGACCCACCATGGCTGGGCTCTTCATTAAGTGGTAGTTGAAGGGATTCGGCTTTGTTGCCACCACGGCCTAGAGGAAGAGCCTTATCTAGGGGCAAATTACCCTGCAGCAGCTCCATCACAAGTGGGCTGGTGGCCTCCACTGAGGGCCCAGACCCATCCAGGCACACAGGGGGCCTCAGCTGGTATTCAGTACTGGCGAGCAACAGGGAGTCTGGGATTTTTTGGGGACCTGCACATACACGAGACACCCAGCTCTGAGGAGCAAGCATCCCGTCTGTCCTTGTAACCAGACCTGGATCACCACTGGTTTTGGAGAGTTTCTCATTCTTGTCCCCAACTGAGGAGTCCTTCTTCACTGTGGCTTCCCCAGGGTCTGCCTCAATGCTGTCCTCAATGAGGCTGCCTTCGAAGTCAGACGCTGTGTCTGTGGATTCACTGTGAGGACTCAGTGCCTCGGTGCCACCATTGATTTTAAGATTTTCAACTTGGACCTGTCTGCAGATGCTACCAGCGCTGCCCATGCCTGGAGGTGGCACTGCCCAGAGTACGGGAAGGCTGTCAGGAAGCTCTAGACCCTCTTCGGTTGTCAACCTCCCAAGAAATGCAGGTATGTGGGGAGCAGCTGCCTCCCACTCTTCTCCAACCTGCAGCTCAGCAGATGGCACCTTTTCTCCAGTGTCAGGGCTAGACTGCGTTGCTCCCTTGCCATTCAACAAGTCTGGCACCCAATGAGCTATACTGCCAGAAACAAGAGGCTCCACTTTTAAGTCTTCTTGTTTAGTATCGCTTTCCCTCAAGGGTTGGGGGCCTGAATGACCAAGTTTTAATTGGTCATCAAACGGTCTGCCATGCAAGCAGCCAGCCAATAATGACCCAGGGGTGGAACTGGGGGTCACATTTATAGGCCCCTTCATAGTTGGAGTAGCATCCAGAACCTGGCCAGTGCCTTCTTGCAATCCAGCATCTCCCACTGGAGACTGAACAGGACCATTCTCTGAGCAAAGAGTGGGTCCTTGCTCCAACTCATCCCTCACCCAGGAAGGAGTGCCAGATTCACATTCAGTTCTAACATCTAGAGGCAACTTGGGCTGTTCAACCAAGCTCTCGGTTACTGAGGTTTTGGAGGACAGTGGTGGCAAGGCCTGGCAAGGCTGGTCCCCAGTGGGCGCAATGGGTGGTGGGGAGGCATCACCCACAACTGAAGCCGGTTGTCGGGGGCAGCTTTCCTCCCTGCAGATGGAAGCCAGGTCCTCAGTCCTAGCTGCAGACGCAGCAGGCCCACCCTGGGCAGGCTCTCCACTTAGAGGACAAGGCGGCAGTAGTTGTGTTCGCTGTATATCTGACGCACACTCTCCAGGGGTGCTCTGGGCTCCCCCGAGCTCAGAGTAGCCACAGGTCTCACTACCATCACCACGGTCGCCGCCTCTGCCACCTCCCTTATCGGTGGCCCCGCCGCCACCTCCACCCGGGCCACCCCCCCCTCCGATGGCAGTGGTGGCCGCCTCTCGCTGGGCTCGGGCCTGCAGAGCACGGGCTTTAATGTCTGCGAGGGTCCTGGCGCCAGTGCGGCCCCGGCTGGAGGGTTCCGTGCTGGGGACGATCCGGGGGCATATCTGGTAAGTGGGCTGACCTTTAACCACCCAGGGTGGTTTGATGCGTGAAAGTTGAATCTGCAAGAAAAGAATGACAAGAACAGTTTTAAATGACTGGGTGACCTGATCGAACATAAGAACTGAACAGGAAAACTGAGATTTAAGTAGTTTAGGGAATCATGAATGACACCCAGGGAATCAAATAATTTCCCGGAAAAAAATAAATAATCATGGTAAAATGTCTGTGATAGCGCACCCTTCTGACAAGATTCTGCTTAGGAGCTCATCTGTGCCACACTTCTAAATTTCAGTTCTAAGTTCTGGTGGGACTCAGAGTCACTACAGCAAAGGCTGGAACACTACCCTGAACAAAGATGAAAACTCCCAAAGGATTCTGACCAGGAGAGAGAGTGTCAAGGAGCGCTCTCCTCTAGAATGCTATCTACCCCATATAATTCACACCAGGGCCTGAAAAGGGACCTGAAGAACCCTACAACTCTCAAAAAGAATTGAGCTCCAAGGGCAGCCAGGAAACACACAGCTACCTACCCGGATGGGCGGGACTTTAGGCTCTTCTTTAGTGGGCTGGGGCTTTTCGGTGTGAACACTTTCAATTGTGTTACGAAAGGACTGACGATCATCAAGCCGGGGTTTCTTTTCGGGAAAGGACGCAGAGGCCGCCTGCTCAAAGGATTTCCTCTTCTGGTCCTTGGGCTCCTGATCCACAGTCTCCTGAGGCAAGCTGGAAATTCTGTCTGGAGCTGCAGAGGCACACGCCAAGTTGTCTGGCTCAGTCTGGATCCGGGCAGCTGCAGGTTCGGCTGGGAATTCAGGACCCTCTGGGCCGGGTGCTGAAGAGGACACACCTGGCAAGTGGGGACTGCTCACCCCCACTGAGTCAGCCTCAGCTTCTCCATCCTTGCAGAGGGGGGTGTCTGCTGTCACAGATTTCACATCCTTAGCAACTGCTGATTCTGGCTCCTGTTTTTTGTATAGATTCCTTCTAGCTCTGGTTCGGAGATCTGGCCGAGAGCGTTTCTTGAAATGCCCATCACGCTGCCGAGTGGCCAGACCCCGCTGTGGCCTTGACGATTCTCCTGAGACACGCAAGCCACTCTTGATTTCCGTCTCCTCCTGGCCCAAGTTCTGCTGCAATGACTCTTCCTTGGTCAGACCCAATCTGAAACCAAAGCCACACATTATCAGCAACAGGCCAGAGAAGGCATGTCCATATATGTAGGTTTTGTATCCAGAACAAGCTTGTAGTCAGGACAATGTCTACTGAGTAAGGGAGAGTTACTTACTCCTCCCTGGAATAATCAACACAATAAATATACAATCAATCTGCATGGTACAGGACACTTTACCATAGACAAATGGAATCTACCTTCACCAAAATGACCCAAGTGACTGAACTCTCTCCACATTACTGCCCATCACAGAAGTGCATACTACCTGTCTCAACACCCCCAAGCCCAGACCAGGAGTCATAGTACCAAGCCCTTACTTCTGTCCGTAGTAGTCTTCAAAGAACTTTTCTTTCCACTGCTCCACCTTCTTTTCCTTCTCCATTTCCTGTCGTATCCTGACTTGCATCTCATGAGTGAACTCCCCTAGAGAGAAAAGAAACCCTTTCTGGGGAATGCTTTCAGGATACTGACACCGTCTTTATGGACAGCCAAGTCTCTGATTACACTGCATCAGTTTTCAGAGCACATGTGACTTTGGAACTGTTTTTCAAACTCTTCCTATCTTAAAGTTTGCCGTCTCCTTCAGAACAAGCCTGTACTCAGGACAATGTCTACTGAGTAAAGGAGAGTTACTCCTCCTAGAATGATCATTCAACATCAAGTAACATGTTTTTCAAAAACAACAACATTCTTACACCCTATGCAGACAACAAAAGCTGCCACAATAGCTTAACTGCCTACCCTTAGAAAGGAGGCCTGCTGACAATGTGGGCCCTTGGTTGGCAGGTGGGAACCTGGATTTCAGGAGGGTTTTTAGAACCCCACCTGTAATGATAAAGGTGGCTCACAGCGCCTAAACTGTTGATGCATATAATAATGGTTTATGCTGAATACCTGCTTTCCTGGTGGGACTGTGGTTATGTGCCAAGCAAGTTGTCTATGTGGCCAGTCCCAACAAAAACTCTCACAAGCTTCATGACAGATATTTCACACATACTATCACAGCTGGTTGGTGGGGACTCCATTGAATTTACGCTTAGTCTCTCCGGACTCTGCCCACCATGCCTTTTCCCTTTGGTGATTTTGCTTTGTGTCCTTTTGCGAGAACAAATTGGAGCTGTGAGTACGATGATATAGTGAATCCTCCTAGGAAATCACTGGAACGGGGGGTGGTCTTGGGGACTTCCTGACACCCTGCCCCCCTCCATGTTACTTGCCCACAAAGTTAAGTGAAGCGAACAACCACACCAAGTCGCAATATCTGGAGCGAGTGAGCTTCTGTGAAGGTGCAACACAGAAGCTCAAAGCCATGGTACACTGCCTCCAGCTAGGCAGACGGGATTACTGGGAAGAACAGGAGCTCAAAGTGCTCATGATCAATAGGAAACACATGGTAGATGGTGGTGGTGTAAGTGCCATCGAGTGAATTCTGATTCACTGTGACCCTCCGAGGAGCTGCTGATGGGTTTGAATTGTCAAGCCTTGTGGTTCACAGTGCAATGTTGATCCTACAACACCACACCAGGGGATGCACACAATCTAGTCCAGACACAGGGAGGCACGCTTATAGGACTAGTCACAAATCAAATACTCATGTACCTCGTTAGAGCAGGGTGGCACACTAACATCTACTATATGTCTAAGTATTGCGAAAAGTGCCTATCTTAGAAATTAAACATCCCTAGAGAGACAGGAAAAGAGTTGATGAAAAATGAGTACTAAGGTTTTCAATTGCAGGAGGCAGTTACCATGTTACATGGAAAGTGCATCTCAAGCCTTTCGAGACCATGAAGTCTACCTACCATCAGCCAGGCGTTCCCGCCAGCTCTGAGCCGCATGGGTGAAAAACTCATTATTCAGGGCACTGCCACTGAGACGCAATAGGCCATCTGTCCCCAGCTAGAAGGATCAAGGTAGAAAAAAAAACTTAGAAAAGTGAACCAAAAGCCCACCCCAGAGATAGGGAGAGAAAGGGCTGCCCAGCTGCACCTGTCTGTCTACTTCAGGGAGAAGGAAGAGCAGCTGCTGCTGGAAGTGAGAAGGCAGGGCGTGGAAGGTCCGAGAGTTGATCAGGGCACGGAGGTTGGTGTTGACAAGAATGGACCCAGGTGTCTCAAAATCTATCTCTTCCCCTCGGTTGCGTTTCATTTGACCTGCAGTTTTTGAAGTAATAAGAAGCGAGGTTTACGTTTTTATCTTCTTAAAACAGCAAATGTCAACTGAGAGGCACACTCTAGTGGTAACACCATGCTGCCTTGGCTTCTCTGCACACAACCTCCTCACTCTCCCAGGTCACCCACTCTTTACTGGACAACTGTTCCTTCCCCGTTACTGACACAGCTGGGCCTGCAGCCTCTCAGACAAATTATGCCATGTTGTGTCACAGCTGAAGGAACATGAAAAACCAGGCTGGGGGCAGGTTCTCAGCTTCCCTTCAAAACTGGAGAACAGGCTCCACACAAAGTCCAAATGGAGAAATGACAGAAGTTGTGTGAAAGCAAATCTAGTTAGTGTAGTACAGAAAAATCTGCAGCCGCCTTCTGTGAAGGGACTGGAGATACGTGGTCTACTTGCAGAAATGCATGTGGGGCTGTTCAAAACCAACTGAAAATGTCAGTACCTTTCACAGAAGCTTAAGCACATGTACTTTACCTTGACAGCCGCTAAGAATAGAGCTCTTACATTGAGTTCTGCTGATGAGTGTAAGAGCAGCAAGACAACAAACCTAATTCCCACTAGGGCAATGGTTTACTCTAATTTTTAGAAGTCAAGGCTAGTTTTAATGGTTAATGTGGCCCATCTACAAAAGAAAACAAACTGTGCAGCCTTTAAGAAATAAATCCTAAAATAGCAAACAGTATACTTGCCTTGTAAGAGTCTTACTGGGGGTGGGGTGAGGGCACCCTTGAGCACTACTGAATTTGTTTGCAACCCCCAAGTCAACAGACACTTCCGCTCGGCATACTGACTTGGTTGAAAAAAAAATTCTGACAGAAAGTACAGATGTTGAGAACATATGTGGCTGGATGCTACCCGAGGAAATAAAGGATGATGGAATTCTTCAAGGCAATTTTTGCTTCCTGAAGCGCTTACTAAGGAGTACTCAAGCCAGGCACCAGACTAGGCCCTTAAAGGGCCATACAAGGATCAAAGGGGTCCCGTCTCTGACCACAAGGACTTTCTCAGTTTAGTAGAGAACATCTATACATAAAATACACAATACACAAAGTCAAACAAACAGAGAGCCACCTATGAAGTAAAAGCAGAAAGATACAGGAACTGGAGTAGAAGACATCAGCTTCTCACTAGGCCTGCAGGACCCCCCTTTTACAGGCAGAGAAATGAGTGCCAAGCCACTCACCTGTGGCCGGCTTCCGGAAACCTCTCAGGAGCGGGGCAGGGTCCCGAGCGGCCTCAGCCTGGCCACGGATAGCAGCGCTGCCCAGGGCCAGAGAGCCGCTGCTGCTGCTGGACGGGCTGCCGCTCTCGCCATCAGCGTGGCGGCCTGAGAACCCTGAAGGCACAGCATTCCACTGGTCAAAAGATCACATGCCGCGCCCATGGCTCTCAGACCATCTTATTTTTCCCAGTTCTCCCTGAGATGCTGCCAGCAATACTGGGCACTTCTATATCCCAGCCTGGGGCTGTCAGAAACCACCACTTCTGTGGTCTGGCTTTAAAGTATCACCTTAAGGACACCAAGCCACCATCTTACACTTGTACAGCACCACACCATTTACAAAGCACCTGCATGCTCCCTGTGACCACCTCGTGAGGTCAAGAGGAGGAGGGCACACAGCAGAGTCCCCCATTAAGCCTCACCACTACACTATGTTGCCTTTCAGAGGGTGGGTCTCCTGACTCTGTGGCTCAACAGTTCTGCTGACTAGAACTGGCATCACACTACCAAGGTCAGAAATGCAGGCAGAGGGAGGGAGGCAGGTCCAACCTGAGGAAGAAGCATGTACACATACCTGATGCAGATTCCACGTGGGCCCCGTTTACCTTCAGAGGAGTCAGGACAACTCGAGGCAGCATCACCCCAGTCTTTTTCTTTTGCTTGTTTGCCTAAATTACAAGAGGAAGTAAAAAGAACCCTGAGTGTCTATATGGGCACAACAGGACTCCCTCTTGATGCCTCTTTCCCAGTCTCTTGTGAAAACAGTGTTGGCATTTAACCCGACCAGTAGGTGGCACTCAGAGCAGAGTGTGCAGACCACATCTTCACCCACTGCTGAGAAGAATGCAAGGTCTTACATTGGGTTAATGTGCCAGACTGCAAAGCCATTTGAACTGCAAGGTCAGCGGTTCAAGCGCGCCAGCTACTCCCCAGAAACCCACAGGGTCGCTTTGGGTCGGAATTGACTTGATGGCACTTAACAACAAGAATTTGCTCAAGGTTCCAAAACTAGTTAAGTGGCAGGGTCTGAATTCAAACTGAGGTCTCGGACTCCAAGCTCATGCTATTACCACACTATGCTTCAGGCTTCCCTTAGATGGCCTGTCTTTATTACCCGAATCAAGTGACTGAGAGAAATCGCAAATCCTTCTGCTCTCCAATCTACTGTCCACTGTTCCTATGGTCTTCTTGGTAACGACACTCACAAGCTTATTTCCCCCATTCTTCAAATACGATCACAGTTAACTACAGAAGGAAGCAGCCGGTCTCACACCCGCCCTCATTTGTCCTTCCAGCCTCGTCACTGATGCTCCTCCCCACCTGCGAGGATGTTCTGCAGCTGTCCCTGGGATTGGAAAGAGGTCGACTCTGAGATTCTGTCGAACAAGATGCATTTGAAGATGTCTCATCAAGAGAGACTGGAAGAGAGGAAAATAAAGGTTAGTTCCTAGAAGCCAGCTAGCTCTTCACCCACCGTGTTAAGGGTACTTACCATCGTTTTCACCACTCACAGTGCTAGCTTCATTAGACCCACAGCTTTCCACATCGGCCCTGTCCTCTGGTTCCTCCCCCTCCACTGGTGCTGGGTTGCGAGACCACTGCAGGGCATCCTTCTGTGAGAGGCAAGGTACAGTTCAGGCCAACCAAGCCCACAAACCCAATATGCACACTGCTGTTGGTGTGAGCTGTCGAGTTGAGTAGAGCTGCCCCAGAGGGTTGCCTAGGTTGTAATCTTTATGGGAGGAGACCACCAAGTCTTTTCTCCCGTGGACTGGCTAGCGGGTTTGGACTCCTCACCTTTCAGTTAGCAGCAAAGCGCTTAACAACTGCACCATCAAGGCGCCTTTGTAAGCTCACCAGTCGTCCCTAATTTTGCATGTTTTGAATAGGGGGATTTAGAATATTGATTTGTTGTTGTTAAGTGCATCGAGTCAGTTCCAAACCATAACGACCCTGTAAAGGGTTTCCAAGGAGCAGCTAGTAAGCTTGAACCACCGACCTTGTAGTTCAAAAGGCTTTGCAGTCTGGTGCATTAACCCCCAGCGCCACACCAGGACTCCTTATATAAGTATTAATATCCTTTCTAACTGATCTTGTATATATATAAGGTTGCTATGAGTTGAACAATAGAGAAATGCATGTATGAGCATAAACACATTAGAAAGTATTATCACGATTGTTCATACAGTATCATTCCTAAAAGGCAAAACTATAAACAACCCAAGTGTCCACCAATAGTAGAAATTAATAAACAGTAGTGTATACACGAGTAAATCACTATAGAGCAGTAATTAAAAAAAAAAAAAAAAAGAATGACTTAATAAAGCTACTCACAATATGGAGTCCCGATGTGGTGCTGGAAAATACAGCACTGGACCGTAAGGTCTGCTTGAACCGCAAGACTGGAGGTTCAAACCCATCAGTTGCTCCTCAGAAACCCTATACAGGGTCAGGGTCACTTTGAGTCGGAACCAACTTGAGGGCACTTAACAACAACAACTCACAATGATGACGAATTTTAAAAACAAAATGTTGAATGAAAGAAGCTAGACATATAATACAAGCCATGATGATTCCATTTGTAAAAAGTTCAAAAAAAGGCAAAATTACAGTGTCAGGGATGCAAATTAGTGTCAGGTAGAAAATGATACAGAAAAGCAAGAAAACTCCTTTCATAAAGTCAGGAGAGCTGTTACCTTTGTGGAGAGGAAGGAATAAGTGATTAGGAAGGGTACAGAGGAACTGGTTGATGGCCATTTGTGATGCCTCGACCCTGGTGACAGTTACAAAGGTGTTCATTTTCCTGTATTGTATTGCTATACTTTTTTTAAAGTCTAAAAACAAAAAAGGATGGCATTTCCATAAAGGAACACTACCACAGCCATTTTGAATTAAGTTATAGAATATGAAATGCTAGGGAAATGATGATATAGCAAGTGAATTAAGCATTAATATCATACAGTATGATTCCACCATCTGTTTAAAAAAGAAAAATTATATGAAGATGTTTGTACAGGAAAAAAGACTTTCTCTAAAATGTTAGCCATCACTACACCTTTAGGTGAGTGCTTTACTCTCTCTTTGATTTCTGTTACTTTCTATAATTAATAGGTATTGTTTTTGTTTTTCTAATAAAGAAAGTAAGATTTAAACCTCAGGGGGGCAGTGAGTTAATGTTAGTAGGGAAGGTTCAACTCAGAAAAGGAGAGGAGAGTGGTTGTTCATTGTAATCAGTGTCATTGAACTGCACATGTACAAACTGTTGAGCTGATATGTTTTGCTGTATATATTCTCAATAATAACAACAAAATGAATACAACTAAAAAAAAAAAGAAAGAAAAACTGGATTGTTAAATGTGGTACCAAACTAAGTCAAACTTTCCCTCCTTGAAGCCCTAGAGATTAAGGAAAACCTAGTACCAATCATAAGGAGCTCTGGGTAGCGTAGTGGTTACAAATCGGGCTGCTAACCTCAAGGTCAGCAGCTTGAAACTACCAGCTGTTTCATGGCAGAAAGATGAGGCTTTCTGCTCCCATAAAGATTTGGAGCCTCAGAAACCCTGTGCATCAGGATCACTATGAGTCGGAACCGACTCCACTGTACTTAACAATAACAGTACCAATGATAAATCTCACTGTTGTTGCTGTATGTTGTCACGGTGGTTCCTGCACAGGGCTTGTGAGTTTGAACTGCCAACCTTGTGATTAGCAGGCCAGTACTTATCCTTATAGAACCACACCAGGGGTCAAATCTCATCAGTTAAGCATAAATAGAAATACTGCCCACTCGTTTACAATTCAAACAAATACTTTTTACAAAACCAAGTATCATTGTTGTTGCTATAAGTACCACTGAGTCAGTGCCAACTCACAGCAACCCTGGTATAGGGTGTTTTTGAGGAGCGGCTCATGGGTCTGAACTGCCAACCTTGCACTTGGCTCACAAGTGCTTATCCTACAGTGCCACACCATATAACCCTCCATATATTAACACTAGAATTTTGACAAAAAGGAAATGGGCTACTGAAATTAGAGATGCCAGAAAATAAGTCCTAGGATCCAGTCTATATTTTTTTTCCATTTCCATCAAAAATGCTTTAAAAAAAAAAAAAAAGCAGGGGAGGGGGAAGTATCAACAAGTTAATTCCAGAATATTTAAAAAAAAGAATCTATAAAAACCATAGTTGGGCTATTTGAATATAACTACATACTGGGTGCCAGTGCTGCATAAGATAAAATTTCTCAAATGTAACCATTGTGTCAAACTTGTGCGGCTCTATGGAACTGGGGGACTGTTGTAAGAAAGGCATTTACTTTTCAGTGTATACCTTTGAATTCGTTTCCTTTCTTTTCAGTCGAGGCATAACTTGCTGCTGTTAGATGTTGTGAATCAGTTCCCATTCATAGGGACCCTATGCACAACAGAATGAAACACTGTCCCGCACCATCCTCACAACTCTTGCTACTTTTGAGCCCACTGCTGCTGCCACTGTGTCAACCCATATTGTTGGGGGTCTTCCAGTTTCTTCACTGACCCTCTACTCTGCAGGGATGAGTCCTAATAATATGTCCCAAGTATGACAGACTCTCGTCATTCTGGCTTCTATGGAACATTCTTAATCTACACAAAGCGAAATGAACGGATTTTCACTATACCACTTGATACATGTATTTTTTTTATCAGTATAAATAATATTTCCATCATCTCAAAAAGTCCCCCTGTGCGCCTTCTTAGTCACTCTGCACCCTACCCTACTGAAGCAATCAATGTTCTGATTTATATCATTTAAATTAGTTTTGCCTATTCATGACCGTCACATAAATAGAAACACACAAAATGTACTCTCGTTTGTGTCTCGCTTCTTACACTCAGTTAAATGTTTATGAAATTCATCCACGTTCTTGTATTTATCAGAGTTTATTATTTGTTATTACAGAGTTGTTGTTGTTGTTGTTAAGTGCCGTCGAGTCGATTCCGATCCATAGAAACCCTGTATAGCGTTTCCAAGGAGCAGCTGGTGAGCCTGAACTACCGACCTTGCAGTTCAAACGACTTGCAGTCTGGCGCATTAGCCCACCAGCGCCACACCAGGACTCCTATTACAGAGTAGCATTTTTATATAACCATTTATTTATCTATTCTCTCGTTGATAGACATTTGGGTTATTTCCAGGTTTTGACTATTATGAATAAAGCTACTTATGACCACTTTCATACAAGACTTTTTGTGGACATGTTTTCATTTCTCTTGGGTAAATGTATAGAAGCATACCTGCTAGATCACAGGGTAGGTACATGTTTAACTTTATAACCAAGGGTGTGGTGGCTCAAGCTACCAGCCACTCTGTGGAAGAAAGATGAGGCTTTCTGGTCCCACAAAGATTTACAGCCTCGGAAACCCTACACACAGTCACCATGAGCCAGTACCAACTCGATGGCACTTAACAACCAAGAAGCTGAGTACTTTTTTTTTTTTTTTTTTTACAGCTTTTTAGCCATTCTCATATCTTCCTTTTTGAAGCATCTGTTCTAGTCTTTTGTCCGTTAAAAATAATAATAAAACCTCAGTTCATGATGAAAACTTTACTAAAACCTAAATAAATGAACATCTATACACCATGTTCTTGATTATAAAGCTGTCAATTCTTCCCAACTGGATTTGATAGTCAATGCAATTCCAACAAAAATCACAAAATGATTTCTTGAAAAACGTGACTCTATAGCTCTGAGTCCTGGTATGGCGCTGTAGGAGAAGCACTAACTAGGCTGCTAACTGTAAGGTCAGTGGTCCAAGGCTATAAGCCACTCCTCAGAAACACTATTCAGGGTTACTCAACCATAATAACTAACAGCTTGGACATTCTTGAAGAACAACAAGATGAGCGGACCCTGCAGAGTAACTAAGATTAGCGATTGCCAGGATGATCCTGGTGTGGTGTTCTACAATCAGCAATGGACTCTGAACCATAAGGTCTTCAGTTCAAATCCAAACAACAAGGATTGGAGGCAGATTCATTAACAACCTAAAGTATGCAGATAATACAACTTTGCTGAAAGTGAAGAGGACTTAAACTATTTGGTCAGTACAAGTTGCACCTCAATGTACAAAAACCAAAACCCCTCACCACTGGGCCAATAAATAATGTCATGAGAAATGGAGGAAAAACAAGTTGTCAAAGACTTCATCATTCTTGGCTCAACCATCAACATTCATGGAAGCAGCAGTCAAGAAATCAAACAACGTACTGCATTAGGCAAATCTGCTGCACAAGAGCTCTTCAAAGTGTTCAAGAGCAAAGATGCAGTTCAAGGACAAAAGTACACCTGACTCAGTCTAATATGCATGTGAACGTTGGACAGTGAATAAGGAAGACCATAGAAGAACTGAGGCGTTTGAGTTATGGTACTGAAGAAGTACCATGGACTGCCAGAAGAACCAACCCATCTGTGCTGGAAGAAGTACAGCCAGAATGCTTCTAAGAAGCCAGGATGACAAGACTTGGTCTTCTCACACATTGGACATATTATCAGGAGGGATCCCTAGAGGAGGACATCATGCTTGCTAAGGTGGAGGGAGACTGAAAAGGGCAAGACCACCAACAAGATGGATTAG